CTTTTGTCCCCTTTCTCCCCTTCTCTCTCTCTCTCATGCACACAAACCAATCTTATCGCTGTCACCTTTTGGCCCCCCCCTCCTATTCTCTCCCACTATATATAAACAATCGTCCCCTCCATTATCTCCTACATTGCTTCTCGAATTCTCCTTCTCTCTCTTCTAACCCAAAATTCAAACAAGGACTTGCAACTATCAAAAACCAAAAACAACTCAATTTTGATTTTCTTTTCATTTTCTCTCTCTAGATATTAGAAAATTCTAGACTAGACAACCTACTGTAGTTTCCCCCACAAGCCCCCACCATCTCATTTCTAATCATCCTGTTGTCCTTATTCTAAATTTCACATCATGAAAAAAGAGTTGAAAACCGAAAATAATAACAGTAACGGTAACAAGCGGTCCCGAGTTGAGTCAGGATTAGACTCAGCTGGTGACTCGCCTGAGTCTAAGCGAGTTAACACAGAGGTTGAGACAGATCCTGACTCGTCCGAGTCGAGAGTGAGTCCCAACCGTTCAAACTCGCCGGAATCGGATGATGTGCAAACAGATGTGTACCTGGATTCAACGGAGGCCAAGCAGATCAGAGAAGATATATTGGATATCTTAGATGAGCCTGATGCTCTGACGGAATGTCCTCCGGAGATTCAGGATCTGGACTCTGTCATGAAGAGTTTCGAGGAAGAGATCCTTCACCACTCACCTTTGAACGATACACAAACCGTCCTCGACCTGACTCCATCGAAATCTGGCGACTCACAACCGGACCTCGGATACCTCCTCGAGGCCTCGGATGATGAGCTCGGCCTTCCTCCTACAGTATCTCCGGCTAACGAACAGGTTAACGTCGAATCTGCCGTCATGCCGGAGGCCGCTGAATTTGCGAATATGGCTGGTTTTGAGGACGAAATGCCTAATTACGACACGTTCGACTTCGGCATGGACCACGAGGTTAGGGTAGGAGATAATGACATCGATAACAGCAACACCGACTTCGTGACGGTAGGAGGACTGTTTGATTACCCTGAGCCGTCGGATTTTTCCGATTTCTCATGGCGGCAGGAATCCTTACCCGCTCTATAAACAGATGAAATTTCTGTCAAGGTTTTGTGAATGGTAGCGTAGTTTGTACATCTGAAAACCAGAAAGCACAAGATATAAATAGGAATCCCATACTGTAGAATCAAATGTTTTCAGAGACTAGAAATTGGAGTTTTAAAGGGAATTTGCTCATTTGAACTCAAATCTGAATTCTCGAGAATCGATGTTAAATTGCACTATACAATTGAATTGATTTCCCGCCATTAATTATTGAAGCAAATTAATTAAGAACAAACATATTAATCATTTGTGATATTTAATTATTTTAAATACTATTTTAATATGAGGAAGCAAAATTTCAAATTGATTTTTTCCTTTCAGCTGTAGTACCTTGATTTGATTTAAGTGATATTTTTCTTCTTCGATCTCTGTAAAAAAGAATTATGGTATATAATTTATATGTGATACACAACTCACAAGCCAAAATTTGAAATGTTTTTGAGTTATATAATTTAAGGGTAGTAGAAAGAAAGATAATGTATTGGAACAAGATTAGACAATAAGGATGTTCTGATTTAGTGTTATGTCAACGAAAGCAAGTATTATTATTCGGTTCATTTTTATTTGTCGTGTTGAGATTTTTAAAGTTAATTTGATTAATTTTTAAGTTAAATTAAATTATATTAATTAAATATATTGTATATCACAATAATAAAAAAAATATAATTTAAAATGTCAGTTAAAATTTTTACGATTTAATTCTGAAAATAGAATTATAATAAATATTAATGGGTGGAAGGAGTAGTAAAAATCAATTATGTTGAATTATTGAGTGTTTGTTGTTCAAAGATTTTACATAACAAAATAGAAATAGCAGAAATGAATACTTTTGTGGAATAATTTGTATATGGAGTTATACAGGGGATAAGATGTATAAATATAAACTTAAAACACTTTTGTGGTGGTCAAGGATGGAAAATGAAGCTAAGATAAGTGTTGATGCGTGAGACGTAGGCGATGGATCTGATACCTCGTTGATGACTTGAATTAACAAGTTAATTTTCACTTATAATAAATATAAAATTTATATTTGTATGGTATAGCAAAGTTTGTATAATTACGTTTTATATCAAGTATATATATGTATAATTCGCTATGCATATATAATTAAAGCGAAACATATAAAACAAGAAAGAGAGAAATTAAATACAATTTGAATTTATATAAAACGAGAAAGAGAGAAAGGCAAAAGAGACTTGGACAGAAAAATATTTGTATTGTATAATTATAAGTGTATAAGACGGAGATATATGTATTTGCAGGGAGAGTGGCAAGCACGAATGATGGAGAGAAGGACTGACAAACAGTTTGTTATGGAACATAAATAAATCAAACGTTAGCTAATATATTTATTTTATATTATTAATTTTTCATTTTATACGATTATCCATTGATTAAACGATTATATATATATATATATATATTTTGTTTTCAGTTAAAAATAATTTTAACATTTATTTAATAAATAAAATAAATATTATTCTAAGAAAACTCTTATGTCATTACACTCAAAATATCTTTTGTATTTTTTCAAAAAGTTTATTTTTTTCTTTTACTATTTTTGATATTTATTCTTCTTCTTTCTTTTTAGAATTGAAAAGAGGGAGAACAACAAAGAAAGAGAGAGAGAACAAATATGATATATAGTGTCGATATCCATTTTTTTCAGCAAAAAAAATAGAGGAAGATGATGGTAGAATTAAAAAAGTAATGAAATGAAGAAGAAGAAAAATGACTTACAATTAAAAAAAAAAAATTGACCTCCATTTAAGGAGTTTAAGCTTGAAAAAAAGGTGTGGGTGGTGGCTTGAAAATGGAGAAGAAAGAGAATAAAATAAAAAATGGCTAAATAATACTGGACTCAACAAAACACTACATATGATGTCTAAAATAAACAATGCCTAGTTAAAATGTTTAAGTGAAACATGGTTCTATCTTTAGATACACCGATGGATTTTGCTTTTTGAAATTTTGAATTACTCTTTCTTTTGTTTAAAATATCTTTTTTTCACAATTGATTAGTGATAGAAATTGTTTGCAATTATTTTTAAAATATTTTTATATGATTAGGTACTAATATAATAGAAACGAGATCTTATAAAAAATAAAAATCCTAATTTTTTATTTATCGTATCAATATATGTAAGTCGAAATCGAACTATATATAATTATCAATTTATTATATTGAAATTAACTTAAATCGATACTTTAAAATATGGAGTCCAAAGCTAAAAAAAATTCATAGATTTTGATTTGACTCCATTATTTTGTTAAACAATTAAAATCGCTACCTATCAATTATCTTTTATCCAATTCTTTTTCCATTTTTTAAAAGTAAATCGCTTCGTGCAGTTTTTTTGGGAAAAGTTTTTTTTAAAGAGACAAAGTCTAGCTATTTTGGTGAAACATTTTTTCTCATTTTAGTAGCCTTTTGTCTATTCACGTTACTGATAAAAATATTAAATTAATGAAGGCAAAGTTATAATTATCTTTCCGCTTATAGAAAACCAATTAAAGATTTTTCAAAAAAAAAAAACTTTTCCGCCTAAATCGCGGCATTTTAAAACAATTTTTTTTATTCTTTATTTATAAAATATGTTTTTCAAAAACGCTATTCGAATAACGATTTTCTTTTTAAAAATAGAAAATATTTTTGGACAAAATTCGTAGGTCAGCGAATTTGATTGTTTAATGGAATATTCGCGTCAAAACAAATTTGCTACCCCATTAGCAATTTTGCCTCTTTTAAAATTTTTATCAAATTCTTTTGCCTCCGGACTCTGACTCTTAAAATATGTAGCATATCAAATTAATTTGGTATGATAATCCTCATTGCATGTATTGCTTTTGGATTCTTTGCGTCGTATGTACTAGTGGGCTTGTGATTTCTTTTGACGCTGTTATGTTGTTAAAATTCAACTTCACATCAATTATTTTTTTGTTGTTGAGGCAGAGCCTGCATCTTGTATTTTTCTAGGAATTTAATAAACAATCCTAATACCATTTCAATTTTGGGTAATTGTATAGTGTTATCTTGAATCGTTTGTGGCATTTTTGGACCCCTTATGATCTTCATTATACTAGTCTATGAGAATGACTTGAAGACTAAACATTGACAAGCTTCCGAAGAAGAGTATACATGATACTTGATATCTCAGGCAAATTTCACATCCAATTGAGTACTTGCGCCTTTGGGCTTTTTCTTTTTTCTCGAATCCCAGAGATGTAAACCGCACTAGGCAAGCATTATGTGATGGGCTCAGACATGAGGGGGGTCATTCCTGAGGACACTTTTGGGCTTGTTAATAACGTAGCATGAAGGGAAATTTGTGAGGCCTGATGGTTTGAAACATAGAATAAGTTCCATTTTAACTTTTAGGTGAACAACTTTCATTAAGGTACTTCAGAGCATTGCAAAAATAGTGAACATTTGGCTTCACTAATTTAAACCTATGATGAGGAAACTTTCCTGTTCTATGATATGATAAAAAAATAAAGAGAACTTGTAACTTTTGTAGGTTACTTCAAAGGGAATATGGCACCAATACTTCTAGTATAATTGTCCTTAAAATGTCACTGGGAATAGTCATTAGTACAGATATAAAGATATGCTAATGTTAAATTGGCATATGAGCATATATATATATATATGTGTGTGTGTGTGTTCTATTAAATTGGCATATGATTCTGGGAATAACTAGTTTTAAAATGTGTGGACCAACTAGTTTGTAATAGAACAATAACAAAACAATAACATGTATTGAAGCATATTCTACTTGCTAAATATCATGTCTGAGCTAGAGTTGTAGTCAAAATAATGAGTTAACAAACAATATGGAAACGGCGGCTAGAGCCAGAAGAATGCACCCCACGAAGTTAGCACTGTGATGATCATCAAGCTCTCCTTCGCGTTGATGTTTGCTGCAGAGCTGTTGTGAAAGCCAAATCCAAAAGTGCTGGACGTCTGAGGTGGTACTGTTACCATTGGCGAAGCTGAAATGCAATTCAAAAAAGGCAAAAACTTTGAACAAACGCGTAGAAACATTGTGTTATTACGTGATTATTGAACTATTGAGACAGTATAAAAAGTTCATATATATACCAGCAACAGATGAATTGTTATTTGTCCCGAATGAAACTTGAGGTGTTGATGACCTAGGAGCCAGTCCTTCAGAACCTAAAAATACAGAAATTAGATGAATGAATAGCACATTGAACTTTAAAGAAGGGATGTTTTTCAATAAAATTACAGTATTTTTCTACTGGGGGAAATATTTACGTACGCGTAGCACATATTTTTATACACTATATACAAGTTTGATACATTATGCAGTGTTATATATTGAGTTACTTGGCGTAAAATGATCTTTACTGTTACATACCTGAACAGGTATTATTGTCAACATGCATACTGCAAAGAAGTGGCAATTGAAGTGCCAAAGTGGTGTTTATTGGAAGAGTGCTGATGCCAGTTTGATTGAGCAACAGGCAAAGACAATCTGGTTGTTGGATATAGAGTTGCCTGAGGTTACTGCAACACCGCTCGGTCGGTGAAGGCGATCCGCCCTGCACAAACGGTCCACAGGGAGCCAATCGCAGCAGTAGTGGCCCACACGACGACGCGGTGGGCCCTGCAGGTAAGTTACCGAATGTCTGTGAAAGGGTTGTAGGTACAAAAACAAATAGAAGTGAAAAAATAAGAACAGTAGTAAAAGCCATGCTGTGAAGACTTTAGTATTACTGAAATTTGGTTTTCTATTACTGTATGGACTTTTTAAATAGAGTAAATGAATCAAATTTAGTGTGAATTGCAGCATACATTGAGTGTGGAAATAACTAATTATAATTACCATACGTTCATACAAATCTTATTTTTCATATCTTCTTAGTCAAAGAACCAAATGTTATGATATAGACGCTCCATGCTTTTATCATTCAGCAAAATGTGTAATTATTTTACTTATTACTACTAAAAAAAAAGGCTTCAAGTTGAAGGGACAATCACAATGAATGGTGTACATTAAAAAGGGCTTATGATTGTTGGAAAAACGCGGACGAGCACAAAAATATATATAGTAAAAGTAATGGAAATAAAATGGTAAAATAATGACACCAAGAATTTTATGTGGAAATTCTTCTGAATAAAGGAAAAAATCACGGGCCAAGAGGAGCAATTGATATTACTATAATAAGGAATTTTACAGTGTGTAGTCACGAATATAATACTCAAAGTAACTACTATGTGCATTTGGGGTTAATCATAATTGGAAAAAAAAAGTGGATGCATGATACAGATTATTATATCACCTTAAGATAACAGAACAATAATTAATTATTATGACAAATTTGACAATAATGATAATCAAATCTCATCCTAATTAGTACTTTATAACACTAGCATCGTTTTGTACTATACATATTGGAATTGATGCAGCAGCCAATTATCGTTTTGTACTATACATATTCGAAATCTGAGGTGGATAGCACCAAGAACTAAGATAATGTAAAAAATATCAAGAATAGATTCACTCACTTTTTAAGCTAACTTGTTAAAAGCTAAGGAAATGAATACATAGATTCTTGGAAAAGAAAGGTAAAAAAGTGTGGGGAAGGGAAGAGTTTCAACTTTAGAATAAGAATATTTAGACACCAAAAAGGAGATGCTTTTAATTAATTGAAAAACATATATAGGCCCTTTTTTTAGAACAATCTTTTTTTTAAGGCCACAAGGCATGTGTGTATAAGAACAATAGGAGAAGTCAAGAATAATGAATGAACAAATTAAGTACCTAAAAATGTGCAAATGCTTGTTAGGTAGGAATCAGATTCCCAATCAGTCAATAAGACATCAAAAAAAAAGAGATAAATGAACAATCCATAATCTTTTTACAATTCATAGAATTTCATCATTTTCTTCCTAACTTTTTTTTTTAATCTCAAAGAGAAAATCTTGCTTTCTTCATGACTCAGAAGGTAAAATATCGAGGTCCTTGATCGAAACGAATCTATAATCTAAACTTGATAGGTTGTCATGTGTTGAACTCATTATATGTACGTAACTTTGAAAATATGATATCAAAATTTATTGTTTGTTGAAAATTTAGTGCGTCTTTTTTTACATTTATGTTTATGTTGAAAGTATTAGATTCAGTTGAATTCATTAGACTTACTTTTTCTCTCCTCTGTAGTTGTGTTGCATGGTGATGAGGATTAACATAGACTGCAAAGGATGTTACATGAAAGTAAGTAGGGCACTTCTCACGATACCAGGTAATTAATCGATGATTTTTATATATTGTAGTTTGTTTGACCAAGCTTCTGGAAATTGATCAAGTACAAAATATTGCCATAATATTAATAGAAGTGTTTTTTTTCTTTTGCAACTTACTTCTAGCAAAAAGTACTTTTCATATTGAACGTATTTTTGTAAGATTGGTCAAACGTGCTATTAGTTTAATTACGTTTATAAGAAAGACTCTGAAATTGTTCTTGAAATATTGTGAATGAAGAGCTGGAGACAAGATTCATAGAGAAAAATCACAGCAGAGTAATTGTATGTGGGAATTTTATACCACAAGATGTGGCAATAAAAATAAGAAAGAAGACAAATAGGAGAGTTGAAATATTGGAGATACAAGATTTAAGTGGCAATGATGAACAAAAGCAAGAGGAAATGCCCTTAATAACTTCTTGTGACAACCAAGTTGAGACAGAAACACATGTAACATCACAAAATCCACAACCACACATGTACTTTCAAGTTTACCGCTAATCAAAAACATAATTGTATTTTATAATGACTTAATTTCTAGTGCCCATTGGGTAAATAGATCATTCCATTTTGTATAATTATTGATTTATTGTGGATGGAATCGTTGATAGCGTACTTTTTTATTTATTTTTTTGGATATTGTTGTGCTTTTAATTTTAAATTGTTATTTTTCTATAGTTCCAAATTAGATCATTATCATGGAAAGTTATACTTGTTAATGTAATCCATCTTAATCTATGGTTGAAAAAAATATTTATGTCTAGTAGTTTATACTTATTTATTGAAGGTGCAATTCCATTTGGAATTAATTAAATTATCAAAGGTGTTGCCAAGGGATTAATGAAGTTGGTTGAGAATTATGAGGTTTCAAGTTTAATTGCCAGCACAAATAAGAAACTTAGTGAGTTCTTCTCATATTTTCTAGCTTTGATTGACAAAGTTATAATTTGATATTTGTTGCTGATGAAAGATGACATATATTCCATGAAATAGTAAAGGTGCGCGTAAATTGAACTAGATACTATGATTTTACAAAAATTGGACTTAGTTATTTTTATTTTTTTTTAGCGTTGTTGATGAAAGATGACATATATTCTATGAAATAATATGTTTTTCTTTTTTCCAATTGAAGTTACTCGAAGAGAAAGAACAAATTCAACTAAGTTCAATGTGTTTGTTATAGTCGTTGTGATTACTGTGGTGTTTGAATTGGAATGTATAATAATTGAATAACAAGTTTATTAAGCTATTAATATATTAAGCCTTAATCACACGTAGAAATGTTCTCAAAAGTTTTGACATTGCGCCCACCTGTTAATAACTTTCTTTGAGATTGAAAGTGATATATCTATAAGTTCAATAAATGTATTGATACGATATTTTCATGCAGTAGCACGAAACAAGTAAAACTTTAATGTGGACCTACCATCTACTTTAATTTTTAAAAATCATATAAGGAGCTTACCTAACGTTCTGTTATACAAGTATTACAAATACGAACTCAAAGTCTAAAGGGTGAAAAATATTAATATAAATTTTAAAAAAGTAATATAAATTTTTTTAAAATTAAAATGGTAAAATCGCTAAGGATATAGTGATTTTGTTGACCAACGTTAAGGAAAATAGCTGCTATAGTAGCGATTTGTATAATTTACTTTTTTTAAAAAAAAATTTCAACAAATCGCTGCCAAAGCTGCGATTTTGTAAATAATTTTTAAAAAAAATATGTTTGGTTGCATCATTACGTGAACATATATTTTCCAGGAATATAATTGGAAAAAAGTAAAAAAACTATAACAGGAATATAATTGGAAAAAAGTAAAAAAACTATAGTCTTTATCACGAAAAAAGTTATTTTATTAATTTTTTTTTTAATTTTTGAAGTAAATTATTGCCTTGACAGCGATTTATCAATTTACTTAATTTTTTTAAAAAACGAAACTACTGCCTTGGTGGCGTTTTGTTGATTTTTTTTAAAAAAAAGCAAATTGTATTTCCTTAACACAGAGCACCAAAATCGCGTTTTGATTAAAAAAAATTATACCGTTTTGAAATTTTTATTAATATTAAAGCTCCAAACTCTTACAACTATAATTAAACATGGTAGGATAATGTTATCAATCGCTTTTTTATGGAGTAATAAAAACATGAAATGTGTTACATGACAACGACAAATTAAATTTTCTTTTATATATTTAATCGCCATCCAAAATATATAAGTTTTTAGAAAATAATTATATATTTTCTTAGATCGACTTTCAACCTAATCCAAAGGCCAAGCCTGAAAGATTGTACTAAAGTATAGTGTGAAAAGTGCAGCTTGCAAAATAGGATAAGTGTTAAATTCATACAAAATTTCAAGATAATCATGGTCATTAAAGTTAAAACAAGATTAAGTGGTGATCATCATATTGATGCTTTGTGATCAAATATTCAAGATTCAATTCCATAATGCTATAGAATTAGTACACAAAGTAAATTTCAGTACCCCCACCCATCCACAACCCCCAACCAACTAACTATATACTTACAAACAAGGATCTTATAATGACTCATGTAAATTGAAAATATTTTTTGTGATTATTTATTATTAATTATTTTTTGCTCGCAAATATATTATTATCTAAATTTTATTTTTTATGTTAAAAGTAAATAATATTCTGATCCTCTCGAAATTCTGAATTCACCTGGCTATCAATTATCATTCATAATTAGCACTCATATGTCAAGTTGGTAACTTTCCATAAAGACGTGCCTACGATAGAGGATTGCCCAACAATCATTTATAAGGTGTGATTATTCATTATTGTTAGCACTGATAATTTACATGATGTATGCCTAAGATGTTTTGTTGTATATATGACTATACTATATGACCCTTTGTTTGCTGAAAAGGTAAAACTATATAATTTAGAGAATATATATATATGTATGGTTAGTGGATGTTGAAAAATGAGTACATGTAATACTTTGAAAAAATATTGATAAATTTTGGAAACATCTAAAATATTATAAATTGAAGAGGGAGTAATAAATCAATTTCTACTACTATTCTTATATGATAAAAGGAAAAAGAAATTTTGAACTAGAAATCTCAATCCACTTGTTTTAAAAATTACTTTCCAATTGCATTTTATCATACGTGTATTAGTCACACATAAAATATTGTATGCACACAAGTACATGTATTCAACTAATCTTTACAAATCAAAATACTGCCACGTCTTAATATATATATATCAAAATTCTGTATTTTTTTTTAGAAAAAATGCATCGGTATTAACCAAATTTGCTCGGGGGAAAAGGAAACCTATATTAGTTATCCCTTTCTTTTCTCACCTTTTTAATAATTATAAATAAAAAAGATAATTTAACTAATCTACTTTAAAATATATTTATTCAAAAAAAAACAAATTGCAGTCACATTAAAAATAAATAAGAAGAAAAACAATTTTATTCATCAAAATTGCTAGTATAATTTTATTCTATCACTTATTCAACTAATGATTATTAGTGGAGCATGAATTTAATACCCTTTATATAGACATAACCTTCTAAAATTATAATTAAAACTGAACACATATTTTAAATCCCAAATTCAAATTAAACACGACTTGTATCAAAATTTCAATATTTATAATTGTATTATAAAATCTTATAAACTTGTTTATATATATATTTTTTAATAACAAATAATATAGACCACAAGTAAGGAGGTAACAGAAGAAAACAAGAAAACGGAAAAAGAGTAGCTATAACAGGAAATTACCATTAGATGGGCCCCACACCAGCAGCTCAATAGCCGATTCGTTTGAAAGCGAAAAGTTCGGCCCTACCAATCTCCACGCGGCTTAATAAGGGTTAACAATCACCATACCTACGACGTCGTATGAGTACAACAGTCAACATAAACAATTCTTTTATTTTTTCACGTTCATCACTGTCACAGTATCCCTTTCTCTCCGGGAACTCTTCGTCAGTTTTTTCGACTTTCCCCATATTATCGGAATGGTGAGAAAATTGAATTCCTTCAGGAAGAGTTTTGAAGACAAACGATTAAGAGAACGTCTTCTTTCTTTATGCAACGGCGTCGAGTACACTGAGTTACCTGGTTTCCGGCATAGTCTTGATCACCAAGACCAAGAAACTTCTGGATGTTGTTCTTCTTTCCGGGAGAGGTTTTCTGAGCTATGGAAGGATTGGAAAAGAGTTTCTGTAAAGGCGATGGAGATGGGTCGAACCGACCCGAGAAAGATCATCTTCTCCGCCAAGATGGGTTTGGCATTGATTCTTATATCTTTGTTAATCTTTTTTAAGGAACCCGCGGTTAAAGAGCTTGGTAAATACTCTGTATGGGCTATTCTTACTGTCGTCGTCGTTTTTGAGTTCAGTATTGGTAAGTATTGCACTTTTTTTCCCCTTCATCTCTGTTTAAATGTATGCTTGAAAGATTTAAACTTTAATGCTAAATACCATCGAAGATTTGTTTTTATACTTGTTGTAACAGAGAGTCAATATTTTAATTTAAATTTCCCAGATAGAAGTAGGCCCTAACATTTATTTGGTTTTTCATTTTTGGGAGGGATTAAAGATTCGCATTTATTTGTATTCTGTATAGCTTTGTATGGGAACCTTTTTTAATACATATACACTGTCCACAGGAGCCACTCTAAGCAAAGGGTTTAATCGTGGGCTTGGGACATTATCAGCTGGAGGACTAGCTCTTGCAATGGCTGAATTGTCTCAATTGGCTGGAGAATGGGAAGAAGTTGTTATAGTAATTGGTATATTTATAACAGGTCTGGTTTTTCGTTCAGTACTTACGACTTATGTGAATTGATGTTCATCTCTTTGTTATATTGGTACATTGCTGACTTAAGTTTGTTTGGTGTTTCTAGGTTTTTTAATTACATATGCAAAACAGTACCCAGCAATGAAGCCTTATGAATATGGTTTCCGGGTTTTCTTGATAACGTATTGTTTCATCATGGTATCTGGCTATCACACAAGAGAATTTATTGAAACAGCTGTTAGTCGGTTTTTGCTCATTGCACTTGGTGCTAGTATTTCTTTAGCTGTGAACATATGTGTGTATCCCATCTGGGCTGGTGAGGATCTTCACAATCTGGTGACGAAGAATTTCATCAATATAGCTAATTCACTAGAAGGTAATTCAACCTATGAGATGGTTGTTACTTTCTCAAAGATGGGATTTTAGAATTGAATTGTTTCCTGAGATGGGATTTTAAAGTTGATGAATTTGAAACCTTTGCAGGTTGTATCAGTGAATATCTGAACTGTGTCGAATATAAGAGGATCCCTTCAAAAATTCTTACCTACCAAGTGGCTGATGATCCAGTTTACAATGGCTACAGATCAGCAGTAGAATCTATAAGCCAAGAGGAAGCTCTGGTATGTGCTTAAACATTCTTTCACATGGATTTGTAATTTCTTGAAATTTCGCTTGCCGGATGTCCTTACTTTGGTACCACAGGAAGCATTTGCAGTCTGGGAGCCACCCCATGGTCCATACAAGATGATTAAATATCCTTGGAAAAACTATGTCAAAGTTAGTGGTGCATTAAGGTATTGCGCTTTCATGGTTATGGCACTGCATGGATGTATACTGTCTGAAAT